GGCCCTGTGCTAATTGGAGAGCCTCCAGTGGAGCATAAGAATAAAATAACAACTTGCCAGGCGTGGTGGCTCACGCCTGTAATCTCAGCACTTTGGGAGGCTGAGGCGGGCAGATCACCTGAGGTCAGGAGTTCGAGACCAGCCTGACCAATATGGTGAAACCCGTCTTTGAAAAAAAAAGAAAAAAAATTAAAAAAAAGAAAAGAAAAGAAAAAGAAAAAAGAATAAAATAACAAAAACAGAACTATCTGTAGGTGACAGAGACTTAAAATAACTCTGTGTAATTGGCTGCTAATAACTTTTAAAAGTGAAAGATCTGACAAGAATTCATAACATGAATAACACAAATGACAAATAAATTTGTTTATTTCTGTGCATGAAAAACAAGATAATAAAGCCAATTCAAAAAGTTTTAGATAAAATGTCTGTAAGCAGCATAATTAAAACTACTTTGAAAGAAAAGAAATATCACATCTGATTTATAAAAATAGATAAATGTATTTTTGTGGAGAAAAAATCTTCTGCCATAATATAACATTCTGGTTTAGAACACAATACCCCAAAATACGGCACCTTAGTATGCTGAGTACTTCAAACTGACAGAGATTAGAAGTCTGCAGAAGTGGTCTCTCTCTGACTTCCTCCTGCCCTCTTGTCTTATCCTTCTTTCTCTCCCAAAGCAAGTCATAGAAACCAGAATTCCTCTTCCTCATGGCGAGTCATAGAAACTACAACTCCTCTTCTGCAAAGCAAGTATAAAACTTGGAAAGATTACTCTCTGTCCTTCTCCCTTCCCCCTTGAAGACCCTCATTCCAGAAAGATCCTGTTCCCTACCTAGGAGGAAGGAATGCTACACAGAGAGACCAAGGAGAATCTGGACAGGACTTGTTGGGCTTCCCCCTCAGTTTATGACCATTAGATCACATCCTTTTGTCCAATTACATTTCTATACACCTGCCCATTCTTTATCAAATCTAAGCACAAAAAATAATCATTTGACCTGGGTCTTTGGGTCTTCATTTCCGAAGGTTTCTGTGTCACATAAAACTTTGATTAAATAAATTTGTTATGCTTTACTCTTGCTAACCTGTCATTTGTTACAGAAGTATCGGTCATGACTCTAATGCTGGGTGAGGAAAGGCACCACACCTTTCTATACATAAAATAACATAATACAATATTAACATAATACAATGATAATGTAATGTAATAAAATACAACATATCATTAATATACCAAGCATGTATTAAGAATATACCAAGAATAAGAATAAGTAAAGAGACTTCATGGAGTAGGTCCTAGACATCTGTATTTTTATTAAAGTCCTTAGGTAAGTCAATTGAACTGGACTAGATTCAAGTGTTTTAAAAAGGGCTATGGCAAAGTAAGCACTTTTAAATTACAACCTAAATTGTGTCTGATAACACCATGCTGTTTTTGTTATTGTTGTCTAATATCATCACACAAAGCAACATCAGTGCTCTGGTAAATAGAATCATATTCTACAGAGCAAGGGCACTGACAAACTTCTAGAAACTTCCCAAGCAGCAATCAGTTTCTGAAACATTTTTATTGAAAACATTTTACCTATGAAAATTTAACCTAGGGAAAGCTGAGCATCTTTTCTGATTTGACAGCTCTTCCAATCCAACTCATCAGTCATAACTTATCATATAAACCTGAGTATTTTGAACATATCGTTTTTACAGGTTGAAAGAGCAAATCTTTGTAATTTTCCAAGAGCTCTCTAGGAAATCCCAAAGATTATTTTATTTTATTATCCCGAAAGTTTTGTTTTATTTTATTAGATTTGGTTTAGAGAAGGCAAAAATCAAAAAAGTTTTTTAGAGAAGATTTGAATTTAGAGAAGATATCCCATCCTAATCCCATGATTAGGATGGGATAATGGGTGACTGAGAAACCATACCTCATTACCCGTTAACCAGAGTGAGAATAAAGCATTTTCTAAATATATAGATTTTAGCAAGGCTGTAAAAAATTTGGGCTCTTTAATAAGTGAGGAAGATTTTGTTCATTTTCTAAGTGCTCAAAAGCACAAAATGTCAACATAGAAAACTGTCATTTAGGCAAAGTACAGAGAAAAGGAACAGTTCACACGTTAGGCAAATAGTAAACCAAAGACATAAGCCCATCATAACTGAGCGAACTTTGCTAAGGTTTTAACAAATATCATAGGTTTTCAGACTCAAGTACTATAAACTAAACCAAGGTAATTAAAATTTACTTTCCAAATTTTGTCATTTATTAGGATTGCTTATATTCTGGAATAAGCCAACACTTTAGGGCAAACCTCTTGCAAGGTTAGAACTAATTTTAAAACAATACTAAGAAGTCGTTAATGTGCAATGTGTTCACCAATGCTGTCTTCGAAGTTTTCCAGCCACTACTCCATCACTTGGCATTCAATTGTTTCTAGATTTTTGCCACTATCAACAACATTGCAAAAAGGAATCTTTGTGTATTTGTCATTACATACTAGTGAATTTATTGGGATGGAAGAAATTCTCAGGGATAGAATTGTTGGATCAAAGGATCTGTGAAGCTTTGAAAATAATTTTTAATAGAAGTTGCCAGATTGCTTTCTCCAAAGGCTACCATATCTCACACTTCCAAGAGCAGCATTAGAAATGAACTTTTTCTCTGTATTCCCACCAGTAATAAATATTGATGGTATTTTTTTAAAAAAAGAAATCAAAGTATTTACACATTTAAACAATTTCAAACAATCAATTTCCAATATGATAATTATCAATAGTTATGACTCAGGAAAACAACAGCATACAACCTCTTTGGGATCCTCAATAAATTTGAAAAGTGTAAAAAGAATTGGAAACAAAACAAAACAAAAGCAACAATAACAAATCTCTGGAGAATTGCTGCTTTTTTTGGAGGGGCGGGGGACGGAGTTTCGCTCTTGTTACCCAGGCTGGAGTGCAATGGGGCGGTCTCGGCTCACCGCAACCTCCGCCTCCCGGGTTCAGGCAATTCTCCTGCCCCAGCCTCCTGAGTTGCTGGGATTACAGGCACGCGCCACCATGCCCAGCTAATTTTTTGTATTTTTAGTAGAGACGGGGTTTCACCATGTTGACCAGGATGGTCTCGATCTCTTGACCTCGTGATCCACCCGCCTCGGCCTCCCACGGTTTCGGGATTACAGGCTTGAGCCACCGCGCCCGGCCTCGAAAATTGCTGCTTTTAAGACAAAACTACTCTTTTCCTTGAAAAATACAAGCCTGTACAAAAGTATTTCTCTGAAACTATTACTCCTAAGTATAGCCTCAACCACTGATACTCATTATAACTATTAACCAAGTAATTTCTGTTTCACAGAGAAAACCAAGGAAGTGGAAAATTAAGAACTGTCTGTCACACACTAGCGTATTAGACTTACATTAGACTTACAGAACTCATGAATATACGTAACACAACTTTATACAGCCATTCCTTACACAAACTCTTAATATGGCAAAAATGAACACATTCATTCACAGATCCAAAGATAAAGCCTCATCATAGCATATAAAAATAAAAACTAAAAGCATATAAACATAAAATTATGCTTACTAATCAGTGTTTTAGTATTCTAGCTTACTTAGAAATTATGCAGGTATCTAATGAATATCCATTACTTAAGTCAATTTAATATCAATCCATGTTTTGAGTATCCTAAAAACCTTGGACATGATTTTCAAGTGGACATATTCCAAAGCATAATTACTGTTGGATTAAAATTTGTCAGAATAATGGGTTCAATTTGGTTAAACACAAATTTGCATTTTTCATCACTTTAAACATTAACTGGGGGTAATCCTAGCTTATTTGGTCAGTAAATCTCTGTAAATAGGGAAGAATATACCTAAGTAGAATAAAGTGTATGTTTACATTATACTTAACACTGACAAATCAAAGAATATGCAGCTGTTTTTATTAAACCAAAAGCAGTAAACTACCTGTATTTACCAAATATTTACTCAAATTCAGAAATCGGATTTTTTTTTTATACTTTAAGTTCTGGGGTACATGTGCAGATCTTGCAGGATTCTTGCCTAGGTACACACATGCCATGGTGGCTTAATGCCTTCATTCCCCCATCATTTACATCAGGCATTTCTTCCAATGTTATCGCTCCCCAACCTCCCCACCCCTTCCTATCCCTCCCCTAGCCCCCCACCCCCAACAGACCCCAGTATGTGATGTTCCCCTCCCTGTGTCCATGTGTTCTCATTGTTTAACACCCACCTATGAGTGAGAATATGTGGTGTTTGGTTTTCTGTTCTTGTGTCAGTTTGCTGAGAATGTTGGTTTCCAGATTCATTCATGTCCCTACAAAGGACACAAACTCATCCTTTTTTTATGGCTGCATAGTATTCCATGGTGTGTATGTGCCACATTTTCTTTATCCAGTCTATGATTGATGGGCATTAGGGTTGGTTCCAGGTCTTTGCTATCATAAACAGAGCAACAATGAACATACCTGTGCATGTGTCTTTACAATAGAACGATTTATAATCCTTTGGGTATATACCCAGTAATGGGGTTGCTGGGTCAAATGGTATTTCTATTTCTAGGTCCTTGAGGAATCCTCACACCGTCTTCCACAATGGTTGAACTAGTTTACACTCCCACCAACAGTGTAAAAGGATTCCTATTTCTCCACATCCTCTCCAGCATCTGTTGTCTCCAGATTTTTTAATGATCGCCATTCTAACTGGCATGAGATGGTATCTCAATGTAGTTTTGATTTGCATTTCTCTAATGACCAGTGATGATGAGCATTTTTTTCATATGCTTGGCTGCATAAATGTCTTCTTTTGAAAAGTGTCTGTTCACATCCTTCACCCACTTTTGGATGGGGTTGTTTTTTTCTTGTAAATCTGCTTTAGTTCTTTGTAGATTCTGAATATTAGCCCTTTGTCAGATGGGTAGCTTGCAAAAATTTTTTCCCATTCTGTTGGTTGCCAGTTCATTCTATTGATAGTTTCTTTGGCTGTGCAGAAGCTCTTAAGTTTAATTAGATTCCATTTGTCTATTTTGGCTTTGGTTGCCATTGCTTTTTGTGTTTTAGTCATGAAGTCCTTGCCTATGCTTATGTACTGAATGGTATTGCCTAGATTTTCTTCTAGGGTTTTTATGGTGTTAGTTCTTATGTTTAAATCTTTAATCCATCTGGAGTTAATTTTTGTATAAGGTGTAAGGAAGGGGTCCAGTTTCAGCTTTCTGCACATGGCTAGCCAGTTTTCCCAACACCATTTATTAAACAGGGAATCCTTTCCCCATTGCTTGTTTTTGTCAGGATTGTCAAAGATCAGATGGTTGTAGCTGTGTGGCATTACTTCCAAGGTCTCTGTTCTGTTCCACTGGTCTATATCTCTGTTTTGGTACCAGTATCATGCTGTTTTGATTACTGTAGCCTTGTAGTATAGTTCGAAGCCCAGTAGTACGATGCCTCCAGCTTTGTTCTTTTTGCTTAAGATTGTCTTGGCTATGTGGACTATTTTTGGTTCCATATAAAGTTTAAGGTGGTTTTTTCCAGTTCTGTGAAGAAGGCCAATGGTAGCTTGGTGGGGATAGCATTGAATCTATAAATTACTTTGGGCAGTATGGCCATTTTCACAATATTGATTCTTCCTACCCATGAGCATGGAATGTTTTTCCATCTGTTTGTGTCCTCTCTTATGTCCTTGAGCACTGGTTTGTAGTTCTTGAATAGGTTCTTCATGTACTTTGTTAGTTGTATTCCTAGGTATTTTATTCTCTTTGTAGCAATTGTGAACGGGAGTTCGCTCATGATTTGGCTGTTAGTCTGTTATTGGTGTATAGGAATGCTTGTGATTTCTGCACATTGATTTTGTATCCTGAGACTGCTGAAGTTGCTTTTCAGCTTAAGGAGATTTTGGGCTGAGACAATGGGATCTTCTAAATATACACTCATGTCATCTGCAAATAGAGACAATTTGACTTCCTCTTTTCCTAATTGAATACCATTTATTTCTTTTTCTTGCCTGATTGCTCTGGCTAGAACTTCCAATACTATGTTGAATAGGAATGGTGAGAGAGGGCAACCTTGTCTAGTGCCAGTTTTCAAAGGGAATGCTTCCAGCTTTTGCCCATTCAGTGTGATATTGGCTGTGGATTTGTCGTCAATAGCTTTTATTATTTTGAGATATGGTCCATCAATACCTAGTTTATTGACAGCTTTTAGCATAAAGGGCTGTTAAATTTTGTCAAAGGCCTTCTCTGCATCTATGGAGATGATCATGTGGTTTTTGTCTTTGGTTCTGTTTATGTGGTGAATTACGTTTATGGATTTGCATATGTTGAACAAGTCTTGCATCCCTGGGATGAAGCCTACTTGGTCGTGGTGGATAAGCTTTTTGATGTGCTGTTGGATTCGGTTTGCCAGTATTTTATTGAAGATTTTTGCATTGATGTTCATCATGGATATTGGCCTGAAGTTTTCTTTTTTAGTTGTGTCTCTGCCAGGTTTTGGTATCAGGATGATGTTCGTCTCATAAAATGAGTTAGAGAGGATTCCCTCTTTTTGTATTGTTTGGAATAGTTTCAGAAGGAATGGCACCAGCTCCTCTTTGTACATCTGGTAGAATTTGGTTGTGAATCCATCCGGACCTGGACTTTTTTTGGTTGGTAGGCTATTAATTGCTGCCTCAACTTCAGCCCTTGTTATTGGTCTATTCAAGGATTCAACTTCTTCCTGGTTTAGTCTTGGGAAGGTGTAGGTATCCAGGAGTTTATCCATTTCTTCTAGATTTACTGGTTTATGTGCGTAGAGTTGTTTGTAGTAATCTCGGACTGTAGTTTGTAATTCTGAGGAATCGGTGATGATCTCCCCTTTATTGTTCATTGCATCTATTCGATTATTTTCTCTTTTCTTTTTTATTAGTCTGGCTAGCAGTCTATCTATTTTGTTGATCTTTTCAAAAAAACAGCTCCTGGATTTATTGATTTTTTTGAAGGGTTTTTTGTGTGTCTATCTCCTTCAGTTCTGCTCTGATCTTAGTTATTTCTTGTCTTCTGCTAGCTTTTGAATTTGCTTGATCTTGCTCCTCTAGATCTTTTAATATTGACAGTAGGGTGTCAATTTTAGATCTTGCCTTGCTTCTCATGTGGGCATTTAGTGCTATCAGTTTCCCCCTAGACACTGCTTTAAATATGTCCCAGAGATTCTGGTACATTGTGTCTTTGTTCTCATTGGTTTCAAAGAACATCTTTATTTCTGCCTTCATTTCATTATTTATCCAGTAGTCATTCAGGAGCAGGTTGTTCAGTCTCCATGTAGTTATGTGGTTTTCAGTGAGTTTCTTAATCCTGAGTCCTAATTTGATTGCACTGTCGTCTGAGAGCCTGGTTGTTATGATTTCTGTTCTTTTGCATGTGCTCAGGAGTGATTTACTTCCAATTATGTGGTGAGTTTTAGAGTACGTGCAATGCGTTGCTGAGAAGAATGTAAATTCTGTGAATTTGGGGTTGAGAGTTCTGTAGATGTCTATTAGGTCTGCTTGGTCCAGATCTGAACTCAAGCCCTGAAGCCTGCTTCTGTCAATTTGTCAAACTCATTCTCCATCCTGTTTTGTTTCCTTGCTGGTGATGAGTTGTGATCCCTTGGAGGAGGAGAGGATTTCTGGTCTTTGGTGATTTCATCTTTTTTATGGTGGTTTCTTCCCATGTTCAGGGATTTATCTACCTTTGAGCTTTGAAGTTGGCGATTTTGGATGGGGTCTCTGGGTGGACATCCTTTCTGTTGATGTTGAAGCTATTTCTTTTTGTTTGTTAGTTTTCATTCTAACAGTTCCGTAGAAGAGGAGCCTGGCTGTTACACACTCACACATTACACACTCACACAAAGAAGATCTTTCTAAATTACAAACACATATAAACACACAGACACACAGAGAGAACTTACAGCTTCAATTCTACCATTTCAGCCAAGAGTCAAGAGCAAAAGCAGAAATATAAAAATTCCCTCAGTCAGATGTCAGAGTTGTTCTTCTCTGTGGACGTAAAATTCTTAATTAACTGGATCTTAAAATAGACAAAGAAGCAAAAAGACTAACAAATCAGGTTCTCTGCTATCACCCAACAAAGACTAGATCTCTATGAACCATTAACCCACTTACAGAGATCTGCAAATGGTCAGACCACAAAACCAAATTCTCAATCGTTGTTGCCAGCAATGGGAAATAACTTATCTGCTCAAAACAAACCAAAAGCAAAGCACAAAATTAATAGAGAAACAAAATTGAAGTTAGAAAAACAGAGTCAGCACTTTACTTTTGGGAACCAAGAAAATACATGCCTGGGCTTAAACTGTCCATAAGATGCACCTCTCTGGTGAGGAAATTTGCCTGGCTCTCTTATATGAACCCATTGGGTATCTTGGTGGAAGACTTCCAAAACTGTCAAAAGATAATTTTTGAAATAATAAGGATAAAATTGTTACCCTCACACAGTTAGGAAAATAAACACATTAAAGATTTTATTGAGACGTTCTTCGCCCAGAGTCGCAGCAGTTTCCTGCTTCAACAGTGCTTGGACGGAACCTGGCGCTCGTCCCCCACCCCGGCCGGCCGCCCACAGCCAGCCCTCCGGCACCTCCACACCGCGTCCTCGGACCGCCTCAAGGCCCCCGCCGCCTCTCCAGCGCCGGGCAGCCACCGCCGCCGCCGCCTCTCCTTAGCAGCCGCCATGACGACCGCATCACCTTCGCAGGTGCGCCAGAACTACCGCCAGGATTCAGAGGCCGCCATCAACCGCCAGATCAACCTGGAGCTCTACGCCTCCTATGTTTACCTGTCCATGTCTTACTACTTTGACCGCGATGATGTGGCCTTGAAGAACTTTGCCAAGTACTTTCTTCACCAATCTCATGAGGAGAGGGAACATGCCGAGAAACTGATGAAACTGCAGAACCAACGAGGTGGCCGCATCTTCCTTCAGGATATCAAGAAACCAGACCATGATGACTGGGAGAGCGGGCTGAATGCGATGGAGTGTGCATTACATTTGGAAAAAAATGTGAATCAGTCATTACTGGAACTGCACAAACTGGCCACTGACAAAAATGACCCCCATTTGTGTGACTTCATTGAGACACATTATCTGAATGAGCAGGTGAAATCCATCAAAGAATTGGGTGACCACGTGACCAACTTGCGCAAGATGGGAGCACCCCAGTCTGGCTTGGCAGAATATCTCTTTGACAAGCACACCCTGGGAGACAGTGATAATGAAAGCTAAGCCTTAGGCTAATTTCCCCATAGCCACGGGGTGACTTCCCTGGTCACCAAGGCAGTGCATGCATATTGGGGGTTCCTTTACCTTTTCTATAAGTTGTACCAAAACACCCACTTAAGTTCTTTGTACCGTTCCTTCAAATAAAGAAATTTGGTACCCAAAAAAAAAAAAAAAAAAGATTTTATTTAGCACAATGGATAACGCAACTAGACAGATGTTATAACTAATTCAAAGAAGTCAAAAAAGCACATACTTATATGGAGAAAAAGATGTTGGAATGAATTTGTGAATGAAAGAAAAACTTGTTTTTCTGAAGGGGTTAGGGAAGTCAGTTGAATCTCTGCCAAATCTACCATATAGGACAGCATTTACAGATCTCTAGATAAGAATTACTTTGCATTGTTGTAGGTTAGCTACAATTTATCCCATATAATCGGAAACTGATAATCCAGAGTAGTATATCCTAGTAAATAAATAGTTTTCCATTGAGGCACAAAATTTTCTCTATACTGCCCACATAATTTTGATGCTACGTACTAGAATATATCATGATACAGTCTCAGTGTCTGAATTTCCATATTACAATGCTAAGTAAGTCTATACACTGAATGGTAACAATATTTTTTGAAGCAAGAAAAAAAAAATTAAACTCTTTAAAACATTTAAAGAAGTTTATTATGAGCCAGTTATGAGTGACCATGACCCAGGGTACAAGTCTTAAGTGGTCCTGAGAACATGTGCCTGGGGTGGTTAGGTTACAGCTTAGTTTTATGCATTTTAGGAAGACAGAAGTTACAGGCAAAGACATAAATCAATACATGTAAAGTGTATATTGGTTCAGCCTGAAAGGTGGGGCACCTTGAAGAGGTGGCTTACGGATTATAGGTAGATTCAAGGATTTTCCTACTGGCAATTGGTTGAAAAAAAAAGTATATCTCATTAAATTCTGATTAAAAAAAAAAAAAAAGAGTTAAGCCTGCATAAAGAGTTGAAGTCAGTAGAAAAAAGAGCTTGAGTTAAGGTAAGGGGGGTTGTGGAAGCCAAGGTTCTTGTTATGTAAATGAAGCCTCTAAGAAGAAGGCCTCAGAGAGAATAGATGGCAAATGTCTCTTTCTGGATCTTAAGAAGTTTCAGACTCTTAGCTGAATCTCTCCTGGATCAGGAAAAGACCTAGAAAGGGAAGAAGATTCCCTATGGAATGCAAATTTTCCTCACAAGAGATGGCTTTGGTGAGCCATTTCAAAATATGTCAAAGAAATACATTTTGGGGTAAAATACTTTTATTTCTTTCAGTGCCTAGTATATGTTATTTGATGCTATGCCAGACAGGTTAGAATTTGGTATTTTATTGCTATAAAGAGTCTGTTTCATCAGTCTTATGATCTCTATTCTAATGTTAGTGCTGTTTAGCTGTGCCTAAACTCCAAAAGGAAGTGATATAAAAAGGCATGCCCAACCTCCCTTCCTGCCATGGCTTGAACTTTAGTTTTTCAGGTTTCTTTGGGATCCCCTTGGCCAAGACAGGGGGTCTGTTCAGTTGGTTGGAGGGCTTAGAATTTTAGTTTTGGTTTATACTAACAATACCTTAGCTAAACGCAAAAATGATTTTATACACTTCGACAAGTTATATCCCACTACACCCAAACTAAATGTAACCCCAACTCAACTTCCTCTTAATTGAACTCCCAAAATTCCAACACCACTTCAATGCCACCTACATGAGTGAAAGTATCATGGAGTAAAAATCAGAATGAGACAGAGGCTTGTGATGGTTAACTTTATGTGTCAACTTGATGGGGCCACAGGGCCCTTAGACCTTTGGTCAAGTATCATTCTGGATATGTCTGTAAGGGCACTGGATAAGAGTAACATTTGAATCAGTAGGCTGAGTAAAGCAGCTTGCTCACCCTAACATGAGTGGATCTTATCCAGTTAACTGAAGATCTGAATAGAGAAAAAAAAAAAAGGCTGAGTAAGAGGAAACTCTACCTACCTGAATGGAAAAGAATGGCTAAGTAACAGGAAACTCTACCTGACTGACTGTTGAAAGTAGACATTGGATTTCTGCTCCCCATTGGAACTTGCACCATCTACTCTCCTGGTTCTCAGGCTTTCGTCAGCTCTCCAGCTTGCTGACTACAGATTTTGGAAATCTTCAGTCTCTATAATCACATGAACTAATTCTTTATAATACATATATCTCTCTTTCTCCCTCTCTTCTTTTCCCTTTCCCTCTCCTCTCCCTCTGTTACTTTCTTTATATATCTCATCATCGGTTCTGTTTCTCTGGAGAACCCTGACTAATATAAGGTCTTAATCCATTGCAGTCAAAATATCTTACTTTTTCAAATTTTACAAAAATGCAGAGCCATGTGAGTACATTATTAGGGACTTAGAAAGTGTCCATGCATGTGAGGGTCCCTGGAGCTTAAGATTTTTTAGTTTCATAGTAAATCTACCTCCACTTCTATTCATCTTTCAAACTCTGACCTTCAAAGAAGCTTTCCTGACTCCTCAGTGTCCCTTTTCTACTCCCAGATAAAAATGATTATTCACTCCTGTGCTACTTCTATACATGTACATTTGTAATGTTGTGTTTGTTAACCTGGTTTACCTTAATAGTTTGTAAGCTTCTTAAGAGGAGGTGCTGTGTCTTGCCTATTTCTATATTCCCAGTGCCTTACAAAGTAAGGCCTCAACAAACATGAATGAATGAATGAATACCAAACATGACTTATTTCGCTGGCTATTCAGAGCTCTCCAGCTGCAAAACCCCTCACCACACTACATTCCATCACTGCTTGAACATAGTCTATTCATTTTCCTTCCTTTTCCACTGCCCCAGTCACCACAAAAATATACTCATCTGTTGCAGTTATCTATTGCTGCATAATAAACTCCTCAAATTTAACGGTGCAGAACATCAACAATCATTTGGTTTTATCTCTCCCTGTCTGGTGGTTAGCTTAGCTTAGTTTGGTGGTTTCTCAGTTAGGGTCTTTCATGTAGTTGCAGTCAGCAGCTGGAGGTGAGGCCATTTCCAAAGCCTCCTGACTAACAGATCTGTAGCTGGATTGGAAACGCTCAAACAGTTGGAGCCCAGAACAGTTGGGGCTCCTCAAATATGTCTGTCTGTAAGTGGCCAAGCCAACATGGTGACTTCAGGATAGCTGAATTTCTGACATGATAGCTCAGAGATCCAAAGGTGTATGCCCTAAGGGAGAAAGAATCAAACAGGAATTGTATAAAATTTTTTGACTTAGACTGAAAGTAATACTGCATCCTATTCCTTAGAAGCAAGTCATTAACACCAGCCTAAATTCTAGGGGAAGGCAGTTAGATTTTACCTCTTGATGGAAGGAGGGTTAAAGAATTTGGAGACATATTTTCTAACTACCACACTATCCTGTTGCACAGTCTTATGTAGACCTTACTCCCTCATAGGTGGCAGCAAGCTAATCAAATCATCTGACTCCTGAGAACATCTTGGAATTTCTTTTCTTTGAGAATGCTGAATATAGGACCCCAGTCTCTTCTGGCTTGTAGGTGTCTCCTAACAGGTCTGCTGTTAGTGTGACGGGCAATAATTTTTTGGATATGACCCTGAAAGCACATGCAACAAAAGCAAAAATAGACAAATGAAATTGCATCAAACTAAAAAGCTTCTACACAGCCAATGAAACCATCAACAGAGGAAAGAGGTAAACTATGGTATCAGAGAATATATTTGCAAACCATACATCTGATAAGGGGTAATACCCAAAATATATAAGGAACTCAAAAACTCAATAGCAAGAAACAAATAACCCATTAATAAATGGGCAAAAGACCTGAACAGACATTTCCCAAAAGAAGACATAGGAATGGCCAAGTGTACAAAAAAAAAAAAAAAAAAAAAAAAAAAAAAAAAAAAAAAAAAAAAAAAGCTCAACAACATCACTAGTCCTCAGGGAAATGCAAATTATAACCACAATGAAAATGAGATATCACTTCACGAATGGCTATTATAAAAAAGATGAAACATAAATATTTGTGAGGATGTGAAGAAAATGAAACCCTGGTACACTGTGGATTAGAATATAGATCAGTACAGCCATTTGGAAAACACTATAGAAGTTTCTTGAAAGTCAAAAAAATAATTATCATATGACCCAGCAATCCCACTTCTGGGTCTATATCAAAAGGAAAAAAAAATCAGTACATCAAAGAGATAGCTGCACTCCCACATTTATTACAGCATTATTCACAATAGCCATAATATGGAATCAACCTAGGTGTCCATCAATGGATGAGTAAATAGAGAAAATGTGGTATATATACATAGTGGAATACTATACAGCTTTGAAAAAGGAGATTCTGTAATTTGCATCAACATGAATGAAACCAGAGCACATTATGCTAAGTTAAATAAAACAGGCATAGAAACAAATTACTATATGATCTCACTTATATGTGGACTGTAAAAAAATTAAACTCATAGAAGCAGAGAGTAAAATGATGGTTACCAGAGTAGAAATGAGGTGATTGGGGAGATCATAGTCAAAAGTTACAAAATTCTAGGTTAGATAGGAGGAATAAGTTCAAGAGACTCTTGCATAACGTGGTGAACATAGTTGACAATGTATCGTATTCTTAAAAATTGCTAAGAGTATACACACACATAGACAATGAAAAATCATTTAGCTTTTTAAAAAGAAGAAAATTCTGCCATTAGCAACAACATGAATAAACTTAGAAGACATTATGCTAAGTGAAATAAACCAGGCATGGAATGTCAAATTACTGCATGATCTCATTTATATGTAGAATCTAAAAATGTCAAACTTGTGAAAGCAGGGAGTAAAATCGTGGTTGCCAAGGGCTGGGGAGTCAGGGAAAAAGGATGTTGGTCAAAGGGTGTAATTTTCAGTTCTGCAGGATGAATCAGTTCTGGAAATCTAATGTAGCCTGGAGACTATAATTCATAATACTGTACTGTATACCTGAAATTTGCTAAGAGAGTAGATCTTAAATGTTCTCACCACACACAAAAAATGGTAACTATGTGAGGTGTTGGATATGTTAATTAGCTTAAGAGTAGTAATCATTTCACAATGTCTACGTCTGTCAAAGCATTACATTAAAAACAATTCTAAAATTTATATGGAGTGACAAAAGACCCAGTATAGTCAAAGCTA